CGAAACATATGAGCTTCTTCCACAGCGGAGAGTGAGGAGCAAAAGGCCTCCAGGGGAATTGCCGTTTGGACTTAAATTACCAAGGAAGAAACGAAAGGTGACTGGCGGCAAGAAGAGAGGCTCACAAAGGAAACACAGTGGGCAACAGCCAGCTGTACTGAACTCTGCATCCAGCGCGGGTGGTGACTCAGACAATGCAAATGAGGACAACAGTGGTGACAGTGGACAGGAATATGATGACAAGCAAGAGATTGTGCAGACTGGACCGGCTGGACAACAAACATTGGATATCAACGAAGAAAGCGAGCTGGTCAACCCTATTTCTGACATAGCTGCCACAGAGGAAAGAGCTGCCAAGAATCTTGAAACAGAGATTCAGCAAAATGATGAGAAACGGTCTGAGTTGGCCATGTCTCTTCAGAGCAGCGGTGTTGCACAGAAAACATTTTTTTCCAAGCAGTTGGGTTTGGACACTGGTGCAGTGGCAGTTTCTGGGCGGAGCATATGCCTATGTTGCAAAACACGAATCAACAAGTCGGACATCCGCTTCAGCTGGTTTCACAACCGACTGAGGCCATCAGCCTGGCTCCATGCACATTGTGTCATTCCAATGACCGACATGTCCGGACTAAGGGAGGAAACAATCAACAAGCTGACAGAGATTGTTTCTGCTGGCTCCGGCTCTGCTAGTTCAAGTTCACATGTTGCTCCAAGCTCTGATGCTGTTAAAGCAAAAGCAGCAGAGATTCTCAAGATGTTGTGCCCATGACCGCTGCTAAAAGCAGCCAGCATTCAGCATTGAAAGGGAAGGGGGTCCTCGAATCTGGTGGTGCCAGTGGTTGTCTGACCCAGTGTATTTTCTTTTTGACTTATTATTTGAGGTTCAGGATTCAGGAACATGAGATGACATGCAACGCACAATTCTTTTGTGACTGGGTTCATGTCCAAATCATACCTCCCCTGTTCTGCATATGTTGTGTTATGTTATGTTGTTGTTCTTATTGTTGTATTGTGCAATCTGTATTGCGGGTGCCTGTACCTGTACCTGTACTATACTGTTTGTAGCTTCAATAATGTTATATGAGGGCTGGATGGGTTTAAGATTCTTGCCCCAGGGTTTTCACACCTCTCTGGCCAGGCCCCACTTGACTTTGTATTACGTGGAGTGTGGCTTGGCGAGGAGCTGGGGCTGGAATTGCTGGAGGGGTATGAATGCCACATTATTGATATGGAGAAACTTGGTTGCAATTTCAATGACTCAAACATTGACTTTCTGAAGAATGAAGCATGAAGCTGAAGCTTACTAACTGCATCATAAGAAATTCAAATGCTTTCAGCTTTCACATCTCGAACACCCGTTTTGTTTGGTCCAAGTTCAAGTGTCAAGATTGATTCGTGTGATGTGATGTGTGTCTGTGTGCGTTTGATGCAGGTGTGGTGGGTGCAGCTTCACATGTTTGTAATGTTATGTTTGTTTGTCCCTTTGTTTTTGTTGTACCACTTCTCACTTCTTCAGTCGGCTCTCATCCACTGTTTTCCCAGGAACAAGACATACAACCTCCCTCAAACAAGAGGAAGGATCTACATCCTTGTTGTCCAGAAGGGCCTCCTTGAGCCAGCGCAGCTGGATGGGTTTTTGCATCTTGTCCACCACATATTCCCCAGCCAGATTCCAGCTGGTTGCACTGTGGACGAAGCTAGAAGGTATGTTAGATCAGTTCACACAGAAGATGAGCTGGTGCATTGTCCACCTTCCCAGGCTCTGGGTTTGTGAAAGAAGTGTTTTGGCCATCTTGAATCACAGAATTGCATGACCCCTGTACCGTACCTCACGTCTTTTACACCACATGAAAGTTTCAACATGTTGAATGGGTTTAGAGAAAGTTAAGATTTTACAGGGTGATGCACTGATGAATCACAGCCAGGCACTCACAAAACAAGCCCTTAACATCAGTTTCTTCTAGTTTTGTTGTACAGCCACAGTGTTACTAGTTACTATTTACTATGATTTGATTGTGATTCGATCAACACTCTGTTGCTTCCAACACGGTCCTGGGATCCTAAATGCTGCATCACATCACTTGAACTATTGATAGTCAGGTGAAGGTCACAGCCACATGGTTCTTGTTTTCCTGTGTTGCACTGCACCACACCCGGGTGATTGATGTGGTGTTTGCACACCCCTTCCCAATTCCTATGTAATGTTGGTTCTCTCATTGTGGTGTTTGGCAAACATGCTTTTGTTTTCTGGTCCAGGTTGAGAGTCAAACCTGTGCCATGACCGCATTGTTTTTGCCAAATTGTAAATTGTTCATTGAGTTTGAGTTGTTGTTGTCGAGTCATTGTCGAGTCATTAAAGTTATTATTGTTGCTGATCCACGATCCACCAGTACCATCAACAGGTTGTGTTTTACAATTTGTATTTACTGTACTTGTGGGTGGGTCCTCACAGACTGGTGTCCCTGAAAGCCTGAAGGACCAACCAACTACAGTATTAATAATCGTTCCGTGTTGAGCACTGCACAGAACAGCACAGCCAGCCACACACCACCCCACACACCACAGGCCCAGTCGCCCGAACAGCCCCCCACCCTCCAGGCCCCCAACGAGGGATATAGAGCCGGGCCTGCCTGCCGACTTTACCTTGAAAGGTTTTGCCCGGCAGTTACAGTATGACCACCACCAACCCCTTATCGGCCTTTTATAAATAGTTCCCAAGCTTTTATAAATAGTCCCAGCACTTCAGCAGCTCTTTATTACAGAGCATCAGACTGGCACCATAGGATTTTTGGATCTCTGGCTCCCTCCACCCCCATCAACAACCAGGCCCAGCTAAAGGAATAATGGCAGAATCGGTAGGATCGGTAGGATTGTTTCGGTGGCCGGCCTGCCAGTTTTGGTAAAAACACAGGATCGGCAGGATCGGTCACACTTCCCCTGTCCCAGGACGGCAAACGCAGGTCACAAAAAACATCGGAGCTTGTGGAGTCGTACTATGAGAAGCTTCAGATCAGAAAGGGCCATGGCTTTTCTGCCAGCATCCATGGTGCTGCGTTCAACAAGCGGGAGAAGGAAATTATTGACATCCATTATGGGTTGATCAGAGTTCCTGGGTTCATTGGCAAATTGGGCAGGTGTCCAAGTCAAGTCTGTTTACAATTTCAATTTCAGGGGATATCTAGGACTCTTCAATCTAAGGACCTCTTGGACTTCAGCAATAAACTAGTTTTTGGCTATCTTCTTTTTTCCCAGAAAGATCCAAATATCTTAAGTTTCACTGGCTGCTGAGAAACCGCTCCAAACCGTTCCGAACTACTTATACACACTTCTATTTCATGGTGCTTAGAAATAGTTCCAAACCGCTCGGAGCCGTTCTGAACTACTTCTAAAAGTGGCTTACAAATAGTTTCAAACCGCTCGGAACCGTTCCGAACTATTTATACCACCCAAACACCAAATAGACCCAAGTAGTCCCAAGTAGTCCCAAGTAGTCCCAAGTAGTCTGGGATGTATAAATAGTTTTAAACCGCTCGGAACCGTTCCGAACTATTTATGGGTGCGTGTTTATATATAGTTCCAAACCGCTCGGAGCCGCTCTGAACTACTTGTAGAAAAATGTAGAAACCGCTTGAAACCGTTCCGAACCATTTGTAAATCAATAATCATGACATGGGTTGGAAACCGCTCTGAACCGTCCCGAACCAATTCTAAAACATATATATAAACATAACATATGATATATAAGCAACTCATGAGGTGGTTTTTAAATATATTTTCTTAACATTTATAATTTATAGTCTAGTAGTTTATAAATCTATGTCTAAGTCTATGTATGTCAGTCATATTATTTACTGACGGTACTATTTGTCTAGTCTAGTCAGTCGTTTAAAATCCAATCAACATAACATGATGATGAATCATGAACGTCACTGGCATACTGTATTTGTTGTTGTTGAGTTAAATTTGTAGTTTGGATTTTGTTGTTGATAGATAAATGATGTTTTTGTTCAAAGGGGCCAGGAATCAAACGTCTGACTTTTGTGGCCACTTAGAGCACGAAAACAGCATTAATTTGCACACTGTCTGTGCGTGATATATACAGTATTGGCAACAGCATTGGTATGCTGGGTATTCTGTATGTCTTATAAGTCTAGTGTTGTTTCTGGACTTTATCATCACTTTATCACATAGGGCCTGACCATGCCATGAGTATCATTTTGGTGACAGCTCAGGCTCGTGGTGATGACCCAGCCAAAGCAAAGTACATCAGTGATTTGGCTAGTGCCGAACTCAGACAAGTCAGTGTCCTTTCACAATTTTGCAGCCTCAGTCTGATCAAGTTTGTGCGCCACAAAATACTTGAACAAAATCACATCGCAATACATCGCATATCACATACCCAGCTTGATCATCCACGAAGTGTGGACATGAGGATCTGTTGGCCGGGAACACTACAACCCTGGATCCAGAATATCAGCCATTACGACTGGAGTCCGACTATGGGACTGGGCAAACAATGATTTTCTATGTGCGCAGGACTGCTACCTTTCTTTTGTGTGTTTGAATCCTGTGATTGTGATGATGTGTGATCTGAGCAGTAAGTCAGAGGCAATACAATACTTACTAAGTCGAGTCAAGTCAATCCCATACTGAACTTGCGAAGCATGAGGCTCACATGACAACATGATGAAATTTGATTTTGGAATGCAATGCAGGATCTTTTGTGCCTGCAAGGCATGGACACTGCCGGCCTGGATCTGACCTCCATGACCTACTCACAGATCAATACATTAGCTGGTCACATGACTGCGCATTCAATCTCAAAGGTTCAGACAGGGACATTTGGGTTCTGGTTCTTGATTTTTTTGTTTGCTTTTTGAATGCAGTGTTTGAGAGTGAGTTTCGAGTTTGACATCATGATCAAATCAAATGCAGCTCAGTTCCAGGGCATGTGTTGGCAATGGCTTGTTTGATTTGTTTGTGATTGTTCTTCCAAGGAGATGCCTGGACAATTCCAGTTTCTGGAGCCATCATGGTTGCGTTGCTTGCTGGCGTTGTTCCTGGCACACTTGGACGGCCAGTACTTTGTTTGTACGCGAAACCTTGTTCAAGGTGTTCAGCTGTGGCAGATGGTATGGCGCTACAGGCTGACACGCAGAGGGACTTGGCCAGCTGCATCATCCCAGAAACAGATGAAGCAGATGCAGGTGCAGCAGATGATGTTGGAGATTACGACTTCAACAACTTCTCCTGCAGTTTTGCCAAAGACACCGATGCAGATATCTTGTGTGATGTTTGCAGCAAGGAGATTCAACCAGGGCAGTGTCAAATTTGCTGGGTTCAGAAGAACGCACATGGCAAGTTGGAATTTTGGGTTCATTCAGACTGCTTTCCAAGTCTTGCTTGTCAAGAAGGTGTTGAACAGAAAGCATGCCTTGCTCTTTGTCACCACCTTGAGCGCGCTCCCAATGGCAACTTGAAGCAGATCCTTGAGGCCACCCTCCTCATATTGACGGACTATTTGGATGAAGCGGCAGCTGACGAACTTTGACGACCTTTCTTGACTTTTGAATTGTCCGGTGGCTGATTTCAGCTGTCACTGTCTGCAGTTTTGTTGGCATGTCACATGTCATTGGCCGCATGTGAGCCTAGTAGATGGTGGACCAAAGCAAAATCATCACACGCTGTTGATCAGAAAAACATCATCATGTCTTGCCAGCAGCTTGCCTTTGCTGTGTTCGTTGCAGCATAGTTGGGTCAGTGATTGGTCCAAATTGTTTGTGATTTTTGTGTGTGTTCACCTCTTCCGGTTGTGCATTGGCATGACCTCATTGGGTTGTGTGTTGTGCAAGTCTTGGCTGTTGACCTACCAGCTTGGACGTGCGACACTGTGGTCTTCTGCCATGGCTACTGCTTCTGCTCCCACAGAACATGTTCGTGCTAATTCACCTGATGCAGACAACGCAGAGGATCCTGAAGACGACGCTGACTTTGTTGACGGCGAGTGCGGAGGATGTGACCAGAAGTTCAATGAAGCAGACGAGGAACTGGGGTTTGGCTTGTGTCATGATGTGCAGTTTTTATGCGCTCAAAAGTTCAGCTGTTGAACTGTTGTGTTGAGTGTTGAGCTTGCAAACTGTGACACTCAGTTTGCTATCTACTGGAACTCTTATATAAAGTTGACCTGATCTGTGATTGTCTTGATCTTGCCCCTTTTCCCTGACCAATCTGTTTCCAGGATGCTCCCGAAGATGTTACAATGACAGTTCAGCCAGCTAGATCTGAGGCAAAGGGCTGGTGCTTACGATGTTTCTACATCAAGCGAGGATCATTTCCTAAATTCAAGTCAATTGAACTGCTTCGAATGTTGCGCAAGTCAAGAGCTCTCAAGGACAAGTGCCTTTGACTGTGAGACAAACACTTTTCATGTGAGGCTTCACAGGTAACATTGTAGCAAGTCAGAACTCATGACTGAACTTTGGTAGAGAGAGAGAGATGTAACTTGTGTCTTCAATTTTTTCTTGGTTTCTGTGCTGAATGCACCACTGTACTTTTCAGGTTCCGTGCGCTTCGACGGCGCCATGTGATTCTACTGGCGCGCAACCCACGCGCAAAACCTCGGCATGAGATCATCAACACCAAATTGTATGTCCAACAGGAACAGCAAAGCTTTTGCGATGTGTATCAGGCTGGTTGACCTGTTGGTGTCAGCTTCCCTCCCATGTTTTATTTTTTCAATTGACATGACAAACAGCACTCTGGCACTCACTTTGTTTCATTAATTCTGTCCTTGGATGTCATCTCATATATTTGCAGAGTTGTTGCTAAATACATTCAGTTTTTTCCTTGCAGGAAGGTGTGTGGCACAGCATTGACGCATATTGCAAGCAGAAGCTGAGCAAGGAGGTCTTGAGCAAGCTGAAGACCACAGCGCAGAAGAGAAAGTACCTCACTACCACACTGGGCCTCACGTTGCAACAGGAGAGGTTTTGTGTGGGTGCTTTGATACTGTGCTGATGCTGATACCACTGTGCCTTACAATTTGCTTTAACTCAGAACTCATTGTAACATTGTACATTGTGTAATATGAATCTGAACTCACTTTGATTCTTTCTTTGGTGCCTTTCAGGATGATGTGGGCACAGAGGGTGTCATTGTGTTGGACCAGGGTGCAGAGACAAAGCGTGTGCGCTTGGGTACCAGATCGCAATCCAGCAAGATCAAGAAGCACGAATACGAGGACACCACTTCGCAACAGGCTGGATTCCAGAAGACCGCAATCAAGATGGAAGTCAATTCCAAGGAGACCAGTCCAAAGTCAAAACTAGATTCCCAGACTGTAGAAAGCATTGAAAGTGTGTGAATCGAGAAGTGGGGGTCAGGGTGGGACATTAGAAATACAGGGGGCTGTGAACTGTACTTACATAATATGTTTGCTCAAATCAGTGCCAGATCAGATCCTTCAAGTTTGCTCCAAGACTTTGGGCAAAAGTCTGTGCCAGACCATAGCCGCCATGTTCTATTGGAACCAGTGGTGCGACCACGCGCATCATGCGATGATGATCAGCCTTCTTTGTTACATTGATAGGATCGAAAAATGGAATCAGGTTCGATCAGTCCTGCAGATCCATCATTCTTTCAGATCTGTCGCTGACTGCTTCCAGCGGATCAGAGAGTTGTGGATGCAGAGAGGCACAGAATCTGTGCCTGTACAGCTGCACAGGTTGGAACTTGTGTTCCTGCAGGCGGCTATCTCTGTGGAACTCATCCTGGCAATGTCAGGCAACGACTTTGTCCAGAACACCAGAAAGCATTTCAAAGATGGCTATTTTGCATATGATCAGTGGGAACAATGCAATGTCCATCTTCTCCATCTTCCCTTTTATCCAGTGCCTTGTTCACCCCAAGCACTTCCCCGCGTGGTGATTGGAGAACACAAAGCTGCCTACGTTGCTTTGGAGAAGAGCTTGGGAGGCAGGACAAACAAGTTTCCAGTGTTGTCAAGTCCTGTTGTTATCTAGCAGCCTAGCATTGCCAGATGTTTTTCTAGTGCTGAAATGGCACCAACACTTCAAGAAAACAAGAGAGAGAGAGAGAGAGAGAGAGGTCAAACTTCCTTTACAGCTTGTCATGTGTCCTTGCTTCAGAAATGTTCACATTTTGTTTGCTGAACAAAGCTGCAAGGCCTTGGTGACTTCGCTGACACGTTTGCTGTATTTGAACTTCGGGTTTGGGTCCAGGAGCAGTTCAATGCTTTCAGGAATTTGGAGATCTCTGAGAATGAACGTGAACAGTACCAGAGACGTAGCAAGAGGCAGCGGCAAGGTTCTTCAACAATTCAGTTTGGTGAGAATGTGGACAGCAGCTCTGTGGTTGTGCCTTCCACTGCCCCAATAGCTGACAGTGAGCCAACAGTTGGCCCTCCTTCTTCACCTTGGCTTATGTCTGAAGACGAAGACGATACCGCCGCCACTGTCACTGCTGACAACTCCTAAGTCTCATCGGATCTGTAATGTTTTGTGTGTGGCGTGCATCTTGCACGACAATTTAGGGTCACTCACATGGGGCAACAAATGCCTCATGTCTTATAGGGTATAGGGGACACACGTGCCAGCACGAAGCAATGATGCTGTGTTGCTGCTGCGTGTGTAGGTTTGATAATTCCATCACATCATTGTTCCGAGATTGAAAAGTAGAGGAACTTGCACAGCCAAGCAATCCACAAACAGCAGATGCAACCTCCTAACACACAAGTCAAGTCAGAAATTTGACCCGGCCCCTTGCTGTGCTCCAGGAGGATGAAGCCAGAGCTCTTGGTGAAGCGCCTGAGGTGGAGATGGAACCTGAGCAGACCAATGTTGAAGAAGATGATGATGGCAGTTCCGATGAGTTGTTTGGCTTCGGGTTTGGCCAGAAGAAGCAGGGAACAGCCAAGGCAAAACCCAAAGCCAGGACTGCTTCTTCCCGTCCTTCTGACAGCAGGGCAGTTGCAGAGACCCCATTGACTACAGAGACTACATCTGCTCCAGTGGCTTTGACCTCAAAGCTTGACAAGGCAAAGGATCTGCTAGATGTTTTCAGCAGATTCTCTCCATTGGCCTTGTGGCAAGGTTCTCAGAAGGAGAAGGACTGTGAAGTCAAAATGAAGAAGGCGATGGAGGTTTGTGATGCGCTTGCCAATGACCCAGCTGCAGATGACCACTCGAAGAAGCTTGCCGAGAAGTTGGAGTCGGAGTCTCTGCAAATCTCTCAGGTTATGCAGCTGCTGTCCTTGTTCAAGCAAATTATTGAAGACATCAAGCCCACTGGAAACGCAGAGCGCTTGGAAACTGACGAGTCCACCGCAAATATGATGTGCGATCTTCCTCAGGACTGCATCACTGCCATGCTTACTCAACTTGGCCGAAGCCTGTGCGAGGTGGGGAACATTCAATTCAAAGTGATTCAAATAACATTTCTATGTTAAGTTATGTTATGTCATGAGATATTGAATATTGATATTGGCTTTTGGGAAGTTTTGATTTGATTCATTGTGGATGTTCCATCTGCTGAGAAACGAAGTTAAATTATATTCAGGTCAAGTCCAAGTCATTTGGTTGCTTGTCATTGAGTGAATTTGACCATTCCTGCAGGCTTGTTTTGCCAGCGGCTCTGATTGCATCTTCTTCGACTTCTTGAGAGTTTCAGAGGGGACAACAGCAACAAAGAATTTCCTTACTTTGGGCAAGTGCGAGAGGAAGGTTCCACTTGAGGATCTTCTGAAGCTCCAGTACAACCTTTGGAATGGTTTCCTTGACCGTTGCCGAGCTATGCAGGAACAGGGGATTCACAGCGCTTTGAAAGGAATGATGATGCACTTTGAAGACTTCTGGAAGCCTGAGATTGTGAGGACTGTCAGACTGGTAATGTAAAAAGGTTCAGATTCAGATTCAATATTGATTCCAAAACCCTGCGGTGCATATTCAGAGTTGATTGCTCTCCAATGAAATGAATCATGAAGGATCAGCTTGGGCGAGAAGCCAACGATGGCACCAGCCAAGCCAGAGGAGCTCCCAGACTTCAAGAATTCCTCTGGCCTTTGCGCAAGAGTGCTTGCTGATATGCAGAAGCTCCTTGCCTGTGGCACTGTCCAATCCTATAATGATGGTGTGGCCTTGACCCAAGAGAGGATCCAAGGAATCAAAACCATTGCCTCGCAGACCGCTTCAGGAGCACGATGCGCACTCTTGCTTCGCGCCAACAGCTCGTTCAAGACAGGGGGGCTGAACAAATGTCATGTCCACATTACTCTCACAACAACTCATAACAAACTAACTACTACTACTACTAACTACTAACTACTTACTAACTACTTACTACCATTAATTATTTCAATTTCATGTTCGGACACAGTCTCAGTTTAATTAGTGCCACTGTTCCTAGATTGATCAAGATTGTGCTATCCGATTCACCAATTAATCGCTGCAGGAGCCTTTGGACTCAGGCACTTGATCTGTCAAAGCGGTCACTTACAGAGGAGAAGGCCTTCACTGAGTATGATGGCTTGATGGCAAGCATGAAGTCATTGCAGGGTGTGCTTCAGAACGGCAGTCATGATGAACACAGCTTGGAGTCTGTGAACAAGACAATCTTGGAGTGTGCTCCAGCAAGAGATATTCAGCAGATGTTGAATCACTCCTCACGTCCAGATGCTTCTGCGAAGATAGGGTCCCTGGATTCGTTGATGAATGAGCTTATTGAAGCCTTGAAGCCTCTGCAAACATCCGCTGACAAAGACTTCCTGAGACTCCTCCAGGATCTTTGGCTCAACTCATCTGATTTGCGTTTGAGTTTGACACCAATCCAAATGGAGTGTCTCTGGAAGACTGCAGTGCAAGGCCTGGTTTTCATTTGTTGCAAAGAAACATGCTAGGAGTTGGGATGGTTGTTATGTTAGTGCATTTGTTGGGATTGGAAACGGCTAGGGCTTAGGCTATGGCTATGAGGCTATGTTGTGGATATGCTGTGCTGCTATGCTAATGCTATGTATGATTCATCTATGAGAGATTTGTGACTGCTCTTGAAATGCTGTCCCCACAGGTATGGTGAGTGCAAACATTTTGCAGGGAGATAAGAAAGTTGTCCACAAGGCGACTGCTGAGCTTGCGCAGCTTTTGAGCAACTTCTCTGTGAGTGATGACAGTGGTGTCACACATGCTTTCCAAACCTTGAGTGGTTTCAAGACAGTACTCAATAGCTGCAAGACTTTGGAGAGCTTCCCTTCATGGTTGAAAGAGGCAAAGCTCGCATGCGATCGCTTGGAGGTCTTGGTGGACATCAAGGGGAAGGAGTGGCTGTCTGGATTGGTGAAGGGAAACAGTCCTGCACATGCTCTGGACAAAGTTCAAGAGCTGAAGGTGGATGCAACACCGGCATTTCAAGGGTCACTTGACGTCTTGAAACAGGCTGGCTTGCTAGAGGAGCTCATGAAGAAGGACACCCCAATGCCGAACAAAGACCTGTCCGACACAAGCCAGCATGTCAAGACCATGCTCACCATTGCGTCTTTGGCGATCGAAGACATCAAGTTATTCTTCCCTGACGTCCCCAACAAAGTGGCAGACTTCCAGTCAGTGGTGGAGAAGCATATGGATGCAGTCTTCTCTGACATCAAAAGTCTTGTCAAGAGCGGCAGCGACGTGATCCACCGGTTCAGGCCAGGACTGTAGGGTTGGCAGGTTCACAAAGTCAAGAGGTACAGTACAGTAATGAAAATGTTGAAAGACGTGGCATGCCTTGACTTTGAGAATGAAAGATCACTTGAGAAGAACAGAAAACACCATTGGAACCATTTGTTTTGACTTTTTGTTTCACCCTGCTGAGTCCAATCATCAAATGCACCGAGCATTGGAAGCTTGACGAGATGATGTGGGCATTCAAGGATAAGGCCAACTTGGACGACACAGCTGCCAATGTCCAGAAGATCATTGAATGGAGGACTCAAATCGTGCCTTTCCTCAACATCCTGAAGACCATTGCGGCATTCAAGACCTCCAACTTCAAGTTGTCAGTCAACTCCATGGTCTCACAGGCATTGCCAATAAAGAAGGAAATTGAGGAGTGCTTTGCGAGTTTTTGTGTCAATTCAATGCATTCATGAGATTCATCTGTGCACTGTGTGTTCATTCCAATTCAGGTTTCCGGCCACATTAACTTTTCCAATTCAGTTTCAGTCACATTGATTCAGAGCCTAACATCCAGGGAGCAGAGTCGCACACTTATTTTATTTCAATCAAACTATGTGGTTTATATTATATTTTACATTATAGTAATTTTTTAGCTTTAGCCTTAGCTAATACTATATGTAACATGTGGCACATCACAGGTTGGACTTGGTCCTGACACCGTTGCAGGATCTGCGGCAGACCGGCGCCATGACTGTGGCATGCATCAATGTCACCGAGTGTGTCTTGCATCCAGAGAGCTTCCCCCACAAGCTTGAGACCGCCCGGAAGGTTTGTGCACATCTCAGTCAGACCTGTGGGCTGAGCAAAGAAGATCTTCCCGCCAATCTTCTCATGCGATTCAATGAGTTCAGAGCCACCGATGATAGTGCTGAGAAAACACCAGGGTGCCTGGGCTATGTTTGAGTTGAGTCAAACTTGTGTGTTGAGAATTGAGGCTGTTTTAAGTCAAGTGGTCAAGTGGCATCATTTCATTTCTATTCATCTGTGTGGTTATGAGACGTAGTTAACTCAATATTGGCAAACAATATTGGTAATTGATTCATTGATCTGATTGGATTGACGTGACTTGTGACATTGACAGTTTTTATAGACAAATAGAGAGACACTGGCAATATTCAGTCTATTAATTTCATTTTGACCATACAGCTACTAGCTAGCTACTAGACTAGACTATATACTATACTTTACTACACCTTACTGCACTAAACTCTACTACAGGGATGAGAAGAGTGGAGCTGCGGTCCCAAAGAAGCGCACTCGTGCACCTGCTAAAGAGAAGGACGAGCCCAAACCAAAGAAGGTCGCAGCTGCAGCCAAGAGGGGATGCAAAAAGTGAGAGAGGGCAACCGGAAACATCCGGAAACCTTTGGAGAAAACAAAGGTTGCTTTTGAAGTCAGACTTCCGTCTGAGAATCTCTGGTTTGTCAGACTGAGACTTCAGTCTGAGATGGGGAGACAAAGACTGCACCCATTGTGTGTGCTGGAAAAAACACAGACCAGAGAGTGTGCCGCTTCATTTTTGGTTTGGGGCGTTTTTGTGTGCAAGAAACACACTAAAGACAAGATTGTGCCGCTTTCCCAATTATTGCAAGTCTTTGTGGGCCTCTTCAAGTCCAGTATTGGCACCAATCATGTATAAATAGCCCCAACTCATCTATAAATAGTCCCCAGTATAGACTTCTTCTGGACAGATAAAGAGGCCCACGAAGGCCCTAATCCATTCATGTCATTCCTCCTTTAAAATGAATGCATTTTTGGGAATGGCTTGTCATGGCTGTTGCTGGGCCTGGCGGCTTCTAGAGCATTGTTGGCAATTTCACCTCTATACACCAACGCGCAGCGACCGCTCAACCAGAGCGCCGGGCATTGCAGGCCCACACCGCCACGCTGGCCGCAGTACCTGAGAAGGTATGAGAAACATATTCCAGCAATTGCCAATACAAGTATGTTTAAATCTTATCTCTCTGAGGAAAGTGTTCGCAACACCTTTGATCCGGTCAAACAAACACTCCCGCATCTGACATCACGGCATTCTTTCTTGCCATCACGGCATCACAGCATCACCCAAAAAAGTGCCTGGCGCCAGCCTTTTATTGACAACAAGGACCCCCAAGCCTCAGCACAAAAACACGTCAAACGGCGACTTTTATTGGCAACATTTTCGCGTCGGTGCTTCGAGGGCATCATTTCGTCCAGGTAGCCGCTTTTTGGTCCTAAAGGCGGCTACCCCGAAGAGGTGGTTTTGCCTTGGCCCCCGTGAGGGAGGGCTCCCTGGATCCCTAGACCTAGACCTAGAATGAATTAATTACTGAGGATCTGGCTGGCGCTGCTGTTGGTCTTGTCTTGCGCGCGTGTACTCCTGACTGAGAAATGAGAAGCTAGCTACACTAGCTACACTCACTCCAAACTGCTGGACTAGATAGATAGATCTGGTCAGAAATTAGGAATCATGGCCCATGGCACCATCACGGTGCTGCTT